GGGGGGAAGGGAAAAAGCAGGGACCTCTGATGAGAGAAACTGGAAGAAAGCACCTCTTTTGGTTAGCAGACATCACTTACAACAGAATTCAAATCGCATTTAAACACTCTGGGAGATATCAGAGAACAAATAAATATCACAAATATGGACAAAATGCCAAACAATAAAGACATTCATTTCTGGATTTGCTTTTTTTAAAAACGTTCATCTCCCATTGCCCTTCCCTTCTTAGCCTTTAGCTTTTCTACACAATTCCTCTTTTGACAATTAGAACTAAGATAATGTTTTAGCTGAAAAAAAGGGTTAGCTGAAAAAAAGAGAAAATGGCTGTAATCAACCCTTTGTTCAAGATGCAGATATCCTTTACAGAGATCTGTCTACTTCTCTCCTCTTAACCCCATCCTCACAAAGAGGATTCTGTCCAGCTGCAGAAATTGCCTAGTTTGTGCATGAGTCTCCATTACTTAATTTTCATGCTTTATTTATATGTACAAGCACATATCTTATTGACATTCTTTTCTATCTGTTCCAGGAATGAATTTGGGGGGGGAGGAGTTACAAAATTGATTTAGATCATCCTTAATCTAAGAAATAAAGTAAGTTGAAAGGCCACAGAATGCTGCCTCAGGGCTACAAGGTTCCCATCTGTCATCTGGAGTAGCGGCACCACACAGAAGCGGCACCTATTCACAGGAGACGAGCACAGAAAAGAGCTGAATAAATAAATAAAGCAATTTATAGAAAAAAAAACAGCTTAGCCAAGAGGAGGTAAATAAAATACAACTGAAATTAACCTGGAGCAATGTGATCACACCTGGAAAATATTAACCCCTTTAGTGGCTTATTTTCATTATCAACTCAGTCATGAGCCACTTCATTACCTTCATAAGTCCCTCTGAAAAGGAAAGTGGCACTGCTGGAGTCAGATGTGCTGGTGGAGCTGTCACTGTAACGGCAGCACCAGATTGGACAGGATGGTGTTGTGTCAACATCTGAACCTGTGGGTAAGGCCGAACAACCACCGGTTCCTGTTTCTCTTCACGAGACTGTAGAGAGCCACTGGGGCCCATGTGCTCTCTGGGACCAATTTCTGACTCTCGATTAGATTCATCACTCACTGGTGAGGAAAGAAAAAAGGAACTCTAAGGAAAAGGATACAAATGGAAAAGAAGTATGCACTCATTGCCAACAAGCCCTCAAATTGAGTGCAAAATGTACACATACAAAGGCAGTTTGTTTAAAACCTCCTGCACAAGAGACATTACTAATCCTGGTATAATATAAACCTGCTTGAAAAACAAAAGTCTCCAGAAGTCATTAATCCTCTTGCAAAGTGTGCTCTGTATTTCTCTTTGAGCCGTAAGGATTATCTCCACACATCATGGTCTAACACAAGTCACTGACAAGACACAATCATCCTTCTTAAAATAAACCTCTAACTGTAGCCTCTTTTTAATCTAATTCATAGTAACAAAATAAACTGATTGAGACCATCCGATCCAACAATGACTAAGGCCTCATGGCATGTATGCAATTTTTTTTTTATTAAATAATTCACTAAATGCAAGACTGTCTAACTACTTTCTCCAATTAAAAATAAAAATAAATCATCAAAGCAAAATCTACAAAAACAGAACACAAGCTGCCCCATTGGACAGTGATAATTAGACTAAAATTGGAATTTCTACCTTATTTCCACCTCATAAATTCTTAAGAGCACAGGAAGCTCAGCTGTAAACTGTGTTTTAAACACGATTATTAGGGCAATCAAAACCTACCTAGAATTTGTTTTATACTTACTTCTCTCAGAATCTCCTACCATAATTATGAATTTGAATTCTAAAAACATGCTTCCTTCCATCTTACTCTATAAGATCATATTGACTTACTGCTGGAGGCATCAGTAATGTGGCAACTCACTACTCAGGCCCTGATCCTGCAATGAGCTCCAGGTCCCCGGGGCAGGCATCTGGTAGCACAGATCTCATTGCAGAATTGGGACCTAAGACATCAAACACCAATCAAGAGTTATGGAGATAATGAAACAGTAACAGGTATTTCTAACGCGGGCTTGAAAATGATCAGATACATACCCTCATTTAGCAATTAATTAAAGGAATATTGACAAACCATTTTAATCCACTTTCTGACAATATCCCTTTAATACATCAGCTAATCATGCACTTCTAT